GTGTTTGTGTTGTTGTGTGTTTGTGTTGTTATGTGTTTGTGTGTTTGTGTTGTTATGTGTTTGTGTGTTTGTGTTGTTATGTGTTTGTGAGTCTGTGTTTGTGTTGCTGTTTTGTTGGGACCATCATCCGGGGACTCAAACCACCATTACCATCTGTGAGCAGGACACACAGACTCCCGGGACGTTCCGAGCTGCTCACCTCACTGAGCACTCTTATAACGTGCACGTGGTTCTGTTTGTGCGTGAAGCTCAGGTGTTGTCGGCCAAGCGTTGTGTCGGGGGACTCACTGATGAACTGAACACACACACGGCGTTGTTTGTGTAAACGTGTCACACACGTGTTTGTTAGTTCTCCATCCTTGTGTTGTTGTGTGTCTGTGCATGTGTGTCCGTGCATGTGTGTCCGTGTGTGTGTGTGCGCGGCGTCCCCGGTAACTGGAATTAGGGTTAATTACGTTTGTCCAGCCAGGTGTGACCGGGGGAATCTGGAGACCGGGACGTGTTTTGTATTACAGCGCCCTGCGTGTTGGCGCCGTGTGTCCACACGTGTTCGGTCATGCGTGTGGAGCCGGCGGCAGATCAACACGTGAAGCTGCTGACTAACACCTTCCAGCTGATTCTACATGCTGCTCTCGATTTGTAACAGCTTCAGATTAAATATAACCTGGATTATCATGACTCAAGGTGTGATTGTTATATTGTGTGCTCTGTTAGCGAAATATCTCCTGAAGCATGAATCTCATACATTGAGAAGTCTTCAGCTTGTGGAGTCAAAGATGGCTGCCACAGCCCAGCGCCCTTAAAACAAAGGTGACTCTGACTCCACCAGTTTTACAGCGCACACCAAAATCAAACCTTTCCAGTCACGTGTGTCTGTTAGCACAATTTCTTATGGATCACTCACTGGATTTAATGGATTTTAACTCATTAAATCTGCATCTTCAGCTTGTTTGCTTTAGTTTGCTGTCCTATTCAGAAATTCAACATGGCTGCCACAGCTGATCTGTGTTGGGGAACACGTGGTGGATTCTGGAGATACTGGGAGGAACAGACGCACATCAGCTCATCGCACACAGATGTTGTCCTCTGCTCCGATGAGTTGCTCATTTGTGCAGATCCTCCAGCTCAGATGTGTTCGAAGCCTCGGGGCAACAAGGATCCAACCGACCCCCCCGCAGCACCCGTGTTAGTGAGAGGCTCTGCAGCTGGGAGGACGTGTGTCCAAACCTCACGTTGTCTCTGCAGCTGTGAGGACGTGTTGTCCAAACCTCACGTTATCTCTGCAGCTGTGAGGACGTGTTGTCCAAACCTCACGTTATCTCTGCAGCTGTGAGGACGTGTTGTCCAAACCTCACGTTGTCTCTGCAGCTGTGAGGACATGTGTCCAAACCTCACGTTGTCTCTGCAGCTGTGAGGAGCTCTGGTTTGAAACAAACACGTTGGTCCAGCTTGTTTGTGGGCTGAAGTCATCGGGGCTCGTCTTTGTCTCTGTTTGTCGTCTTCATGGACAAGGTGATGTCATGAAGAGGTGCTCTGGGAACCTCATGAACTCGTCTTCTTTTTGCACATGATGTTCTGTTGGTGTCTTCAGGTCGTGACCTTCAGTGCTCTCTGAGGCAGTTCGAGTGTGATGCAATCATGTCCACAAAGTTCAGAAAAATAAAGTTTTCCACTTCCTCCGGGTTCAGGATGAGTCTCTGCAGAGCTCACAAGCAGATGGAGGGAGAGATGGACTGGGGCTTTGTCTGCAGTGATGAGGGTGTTGCTCCGGTTTGTCGCGGTTAAAAAGACAAACTTGAGATACGGATTCACCTCATTCCAACCATCACCTTTGGTCATGAGGTCTGGTCCGTGACCTTTAGAAGGACATCTCAGATCCAAGCAGCAGAACTGGGCGTCCTCTGAAGGTGGCCGCGCTCACAGCTCAGGTCCAACCTCACTAGCTATGTTTACATGCGCAGAATTCTTTGGCGGATTGAAATGTGTTCTGTTTGAATAATTCAAATGTGTTGTTTACATGGGCACAATCTGTTCATGATGAGCGTTTACATGCAGCGGACTTTGTTCTGAGCAGCAGTACTGACATGCGCAGAGTGGTAAACTCTCCTTAAAAAACCACCGAAGAAGAAGTTCTACTTCCAGGTGAACGTAAACAAACCTGAGCACCAAAATGGACCCGCGACGGGTTTTAATGACGGTGGAGACGTTACTGCACTCCCTGACTGAGCTACAGGTGATTCAGATCATTCTGAGCTCTTTCAGAGTTTCTAGTAGAAATGTTGTCGCTCACCGACCAGTTTTACTTCCCTGACATGCTAATATTATTAGCATTAGCCAGGCGGAAATGGCAAAGTCGCACATGCGCAGTCAGGTCAGTTTTCCACGATCAGATAAAAACGAACACATCAAGCGTTTACATGCGCACCGATCGGGTTTCGGATCGACGTAAACCACCCGTTTCGTTCTGATCACAAATTATATCGGATCGCGCCGAATACACAAAAAATAACCCGAACGGAGCGTTTACATGACACACTTTTATTCCGACCGCCCATTTGATCCGGTTACTTATGTCCATGTACACATACCCACTGAGCGCTCGGGGTTCAAACCTGACTCAGATCAGCTGCGTGATTTTACAGATTGTTTTCACGTTTTCTGATGGCGGCTGCCAAGGTACTGATGGGGGTTAGGTTCATAAGGTAGTATGTCGTGTCAGTGTGTGTTAGAGGGCGAGCCGGCCTGCAGACCGACCTGCAGCTGTCTCTGGGAGTGTGTGTGTCGGTGTGTGTGTGTTCTGTCTATCACAGATAAGACTCAGTGGGGTGTAACAGAGATCCAGGAGAGCTACCGTCAGCCAGTGGCCCATGGACTCCATACAGTGTGTGTGTGTGTGTGTGTGTGTGTGTGTGTGTGTGTGAATTTCTTAGCAAAAATGCCACATTTTTCCAAGTCTCACCGGGTCATCATAAAGCTGATTGTAGTCCAAGAATTAGACCCAGCAGTTCCACCAGAGTGTGTCAGTGTCTGTCACGGCGGTGTGTGTGTTTGTGTATGTGTGTGTGTGTGTGTGTGTGTGTGTGTGTGTGTGTGTGTGTCCGTGGGGCTTTTCGTCGCCCCAAAGCTCATTCCCAGCACCGTCTGTGTGTCTGTTCCCTGATAAGGGAATCGATAGGAGAGTGGACGGCTCAGCTGTGTGTGTCAGGTTCCTGACGCCCTGAACTCCCACCGGCTGTGAACGCAACACAACCTCCAATTTACAACAAGACGTGCCAGGAAGTGGGTTTGACGTCAAAGTGAGGAGTTTTATTCTGAAATGAGACGTCAGGCGTTTGAAGAACAACACGTAGGAAATGTCAAACATTCACAGAAAGTTTTTTTTGTTCGGGTGGTTTGATGATTTGGCTCAAGATTAAAAAAGTAAATAAAATCTGAGCCGACAAACTGAAGCTGCCAGGTGAACATTAGCGCTGTCAGCTGAGAGGGATGATCCTCTGAAGGTCCTTTTCTGTTCGATGGGTTCAGGTCCCAGACCCACAGTCCTCTCTGATCTCCACTGACTTGGAGTCTGGATCTTGTGGATCTATTGGATCAGCTGGTTAAAAGTTGGAGAGATCATTTTATTCTATTTATTCCAAGTTTAAAACATGAAGATGTGCATGAATTTAGGAGTTTTAGGCTTTTAAGTGATTTGTTTTTGTCTTCTGTTTGTAAAGCTGTCTGTTGAAACACTGGACGGCTTCTAAAGAAATAATCGTTGGATGTTTATCTACAACATTTGCCTTTTGGAGCCAGTCCAATTCAAGATGGCCGCCACAGCCAGCTGACCTCAGAGAGCACAAACAAGCTCTGCTTCAGTGACGTTCACAGATACTGAGATAAAATGTGTACAGGTCCCGCTCATCCTGGGAGATCTGGGCTTAAACTCCATCGTGAACTGTTGGAGTCAT